AGAAAAAATGATTTAGAGTCACACAAACTTTGCTAAATTTGGTATGTGACAATTTTAGTATGACACACTGAAATGGTAAAACGGGACAATATTAGTGAGTCGGAGGTAGCACTACGAAGCATAGCATTAATCATGTCTTACTTGTTTGTTGAATTTATGCATTCTTCACGTATTTCACATTTTCACAGATACAGTTATATAGTTAATGGCACATCATGGCACATCATTTTGTCCATAATTGTGTCCTATTTTAATGTCCATTGGGTATGCTATATTTCAAAGACCTAATTTGATCTCCTCATGTTCCAAGACACAATCTGATGTAGTGTCTCGCCCTTCTACAAAGGTAGAATATCGGACAATTGCTTATTATATTCAGGATACTCTACACAATGTTTCTGTGTTTTTCGAACTTGGCATTCCTATTAACGCTCCGATGAATTTGCTCAATGAAAATATCTCTACCTCTTATCTTTCATTTTATCCTAACATTAACATGCTACATAAATGTTGACTAACATTTTGTTTGTAAATGTGTTTGTTCATGAAGATCTTCGTTCATCTTACATATGTAAATTCCTACTAAATCCCAACATGCAAACAATTTTGCTCAAACTTTTCTGCTTAAGGTATTCTTACATACCAATTTACATAGGGAAAACTGTCAAATAGGTCCTCAAACTTTCATAAAAAGGTCAATTAAGTCCTTCTATAGGAGGTTCTGTCCGGCCGTCGCGATTTGGGGTAGTTCTCGGTGGATTTTTTTGATGAAAATTTTTGAGCATCTTATTCACCAAGTCTAGTTTACTCATACCAAATTTCAGCTAAAAATTCAATCGGGAACACATTCAAATTAATTCTTGAAGATAACTGCGCATTTTTGCGTTCTCGAATTAATTTGAATGCGCTCCCGATTAAATTTTTAGCTGAAATTTGGTATGAGTAAACTAGACTTGATGAATAAGATGCTAAAATATTTTCATCAAAAAAATTCACCGGGAACCGCCCCAAATCGCGACGACCGGACAGAGTCTCCTATAGAAGGACTTAATTGACATTTTTATGAAAGTTCGAGGACCAATTTGACAGTTTTCCCATTTACATACCAATATGCGCGTAATTCCTCGTCCTTCTAACACTACTAGATTATTTATGTGTAGCACTACTAGACATCTTCTTGTACTTGATTTATTTATTTCTAAATACGTAGTATTATTTACTGAAAAAAGGATGACACCCTACCCCCGAGGGCCCCCAACACCGACCGGACGGAACGATGAGAGATGTACATCTCTTCATGTAAATTGGACTATAATCACAATCTGACAGATAGAGAGTGAGGCCCCGTCCTCGGTACTTGCAGATGCCCTCTATTGAGTAACCTCACGTAATAATACGTAGTATTATTTACTGATTTACCACTCGGGTAAACTTAATCATTAATTCTCATAGAGTATGTTGTATAAGTATAACTTGTATTACTCCGTACTAGTACTAGTACCAGAATAAAAGCTACTGTATTGATAAAAAAAATACTCCGTATGATATACCTTAGTCATAATGATTTAGGAATTTTCTTTTGGACTGAAATTTGCTGGTCTGATCTGTTCTGGTCTAGTAAACGTCTGGTCTGTGTGTATTTTATAACTACGAAAGTCTGATCTGGGACTGAAAACAGTCTAAAAGAAAACATCCTTAGATATGTAATAAGCAGGGCCGGCTATAGGGGGAGGGTGCCTAGACACTTGTCTAGGGCCTCCAAATATTAGGGGCCTCCAATTTTTAAATTAAACCCATTAATATTATATATGTATAGTTTAATTTAGAAAATCTGTACTCCGTAAATATTGTGGACGAGTAAATGACTTGCTCTCTTATCCCCTTTGGCACAACAGCTCAACAGGCCACCGCATGCTTTATGACTTTTACTTATTTTACTAATTGATGTGGTTGATTTGAAGGATTTTCAGATTACTTGTTTGCTATGGAGTGTTTTTACGTACATTTTTTAGTTTTTTCTTTTAATTGTTAGGTACCATTAGGGCAGTAGGGCGTTGGGTATATAACGCATATTATAAGTATTTTAGTATTTAGATCCGATACTGAAATAGTTTGAATCGACTGATTTCACTAAAATATAGAAAATTTTGGCTGAAGTGATTGCATTGACTGATTTTGCTGAATTATGAAAAAATTATATGTAAAATATATTTTGTTAATAAAATAAATAAATTGATATGAAGAAATAGCTAAGTGCTTCATATAGTAATTAACTTCAGTCAACAACCCAATAAGAAAATTAACTTCTACCTTATTTATTTCAATTATTACATAAATCAGCACACAAAATCACAAGTTACGTGTTTGGTAAAAAAATTGTCTGATAAGTTGAAAACAAGGTGACCAGACGGGCTCTGAATACTTATAAACTTTTATATGCGATCAAAATTTGGGGATTAAATTTGTATTTATGAACCATCAACGTATTTAGTACTATTTTCAATTATATTATAGATTTTGTGATATGATGAAACGAAAAACGAAAACATGATTCAGAATGTACAAAGTGAAAGAACAAATTAAGAATGAATTTTTTATCACAAAATCGCTTACCTGCTCTTTGAGAAAGAATATTCTCATTATGTTAATAGTATATGATGCATTTCATATGTAATTTACTTCAATTTAATTGATATTCTATTTTTATATTATTATATTGAAAAAAATGTATTTGAACAAAAAAAATTATAAAAGTGTCTAGGGCCTCCTAATTGCTCTAGACGGCCCTGGTAATAAGGTATGACTAGCAATTCTAAAACTCGTCATTTAGTTATCAGTGAACTAATATTTTATTTAATCAAAACTCAAATTTTAATGTAATTTATTAATGTATAATCTTTAATTCTCAACTATAATTGTGAAATTGTAAGGATTTTTTTAATCACCAATTAACCATTCATCAATCAAATTTTAAAGTCCGATTATCATTTTTTACGTAGATAAATTTCGTTTACCCACCATTATCCGGAGTATCAAACAACAAAATCGTATTTTATAGCAACGGATTATCTGACTTTTGTACGCAAAAGACAAAAAGACGCCGTTGTTCCGTCTCCCCAAAAAATAATCTAAAATCAAATTAACGTACACCTCCTTAATTAATGAGAAAGTGGATTGGTAAAAACGAAAATGGCCGTTACTCTCTTTTCTCCCACTACTTCATTCCACTCTTCTTCTTCCTCTGCTCCTCATTCCTGCACTTCTCCCATTTCCTGTTTCTCCGTGAGTTCCATCAATTCTCTATTTTTCATATTGAATTTTCTGTGAATATCCGTAGCTATCTTTTATGGGAATTTAATGTGGGCCGCTTGTTTAAAAGAATTGAATGCATGAACCGACACAGCCGCTGGATTATTGAAACCAGGAAACTGAAATTTTGGCCTGCTTCTGCAATTATTAGGACTGTTTGGCGATTGAGAGAAAGAAGGGAAACATCAATTTTTTTGGAAGAGTGCCGTTGAACTCCAACAGCTATTTTCAAACACTCATTTTCGGTTTTCTCTGCTTGAATCAGATAAAATCGGATATATATTGGCTGTTTCCAGCAACCCAGAACCCCCCTTTCCATTTTCTGCTGCAAGTTCATAGCTTTTGAATTTCTGAACTGATTTGCTCAAGATTCAATTTTTCAGATACCCTTTGTAAGCTTCTCTCCATAGTCCATATCTAGTGTATTTCTTTCTTTCTTTTTCTTTTCGTTGGTCTGCATAATCTGATATTACATAGGCAACTTGAGTGTGGAAGATCAGTCTAATTTCTTAGTCTGGATCTCCAAAGATGGTATTTTTTTTTAGTTTGAGCTTTGATGGTACTTTAGTAAGCTCATAATACAGCCACACAGGAATTAGGATAACGTAGGAGGTGAATTAATTACTTGGGTAGCATAGATATTCTAAGATTTACTTGATAATATTCTATAAAAGTACCCTTGAATAAGATATCATATCATTGTTATTCATATATTTGCTTTGAAAAAGTGGCTCTCGTGATACCACACAATAGGCCACATTTAGCATTTTTAGGCCAAAGTATACATTTTTTTAAATTAGCAGTTCTGCATTTGTATTTTAGTTTTCTTAACAAATATGGAGTAATATTTTTATATCACTTTCATGCTATAGAATCATATGCTAAATAGATATATTATTAGTTAAACTCAACAGCCGCCATTTGAAAATTCAAACATGACCTATCTTTTTGGGGATCAGCCAAGAGGGGAATATAGTATGACTCCCCGCCCGCAATGTAAGACATATAGATTTGATGCTGATTTTATAAAAATGCAAGATAAAATTGTTGTATTACTACTTTAATCTTCTAAAAAGAAGAAAAAGTAGGATTTGAAGGTGAAATAATAGATAAAGTGAAAAAGAAAATAGTTGGAGTTTAATTTAGGAAAAAGTGTTTATATTTTTCTTACAACTAAAAAAAAGTGTATCTCAAATTCTCAACCTAAATGGAATAGGGGAGTATTATAATCTCAACCAAGTAAATGAAATAATTTTACATTCTTACAATCTTATCTTAATTAGGTAATCTTACATTCTCTTTAATCAACTACATTAATCACTGAATCAATATGAAGTTTGGTTTATTTTCATGGTTATATATATGAGATGAAATGTCGAAATTGGTTAGGAAAAACCCTCGTTGTTAAGGAACCTTTATGGAGAAACTCCACTTGACCAGGCCGAAAATATGAGGTGAAAATAGGGGCTTTATTAATTTATTAAGTGTATAAATTAGGAATTTTTATCCCTAAAGAGACTTGAATGCTACTACCTCCGTCCCATATTTATCTTCATAGTTCGGTTTACGATGCTTGACTGACGATAAAGCAACTCGACCCCTGTTCACACTCGGATTATTTTTAGTAAATAAAATTTACATATTCAGAAACTACATTAAAACCGCTACAAAGCCTGATCAAGAAATTTTAAGTTTGATAAAAATTTGATATATAAAGTAAAAGATTAAGAGTAATTTGAGTTGACCATGTGAATAGTAACTATGAAGATAATTTTGGGACGGAGGGAGTACTTTATACTACTCATATCTATATACTACTCCCTCCGTCCCCCTAAGTTTGGGACGGAGGGGTGTGGTGTGGTTTTTAAGAAAAAGTGGAATTGTGTGGTTGGTATTGAATTGATAAAGTGTAAATAAAGTAAGAATGAATTCTAACCACTCAAATGTTACCAAATATGGTATGGGACAAACTTAGTGGGACGGACGAAAAAGGTAAAACGGGACAAACTTAGGGGGACGGAGGGAGTATTGTTTTAAAATAGGGGAATAGTTTGCATAGTATTCCACCCCTATCATTGAAGTACTCCACAAAGAAACAACCCAACTTTATCTTTTGCTTTTATGTTTGCCTTCTTTTTTAGTGTCTGACTCATTCTTTATCAAGGACTTTTACTTTTTCACTTTTTTAGTTTTTTATGCTCAGACAATGCAACCTTCTTCACCAAGATTTTTGTGTTTTTGATGATAATGCCTTTAAAATTGTAAATACTGTGGTAAAAAATGTACTATTGATGCATTTTAAAAATGTGACCCTCAACTGTTAATAATGCCTTTATAAGCTTCTGTACTAAGTAAGAGGGATTAATGTGACATATATATAAATGTTCCTTCCTTATCGCTTTCTTCATATATGACAGGCTATAAATCCTATATTAAAACTTAATTGACTAAATACAGGAATATTTCTCTCATCTCAATAAAACAAATAGTAATACACTAAAGAATGTTTTTTCAATACCTTTATAGCATACAATATCTAAGTCTTCTTAGTCTTGAAGTTTAAAAGCTTTTGGTTTCATTATTTCATTGGGATTACCGCTCCAGCTTTCCAACAACTTAATTAATTACGTATCAAGATTTCATTTCAAAGTTATATTTGAAGAGGTATAGTGGTGACTACTTTTAAGGGCTTTAGTGTTATTCCTTTAAGTTTACACTTGTATATAGAGAATTGAAATTCACTCCTTAGAATATGGTAAAGGTGTGAACTATTTCCCCTTTTGTTTTCTTTGCCTAATTCAAGTATTTCCAGACACAATATTGTGCGTTAATGCATCCTTCTTCTTTCTATCCATACAGGGAGGTTCCTCTTAGAAGAAGAATCAACATTAAGAAAAACTCAATGGGAATCAAAATCTCAGTATCACGCATTGCTCTTATTTTCATCTCTCTAGCAGTTCTTCCTCGGATTTCTGCACTTCTGGAATCTGATGGAAATGCTCTACTAGAGTTTGCTTCTGCTGTTCCACATGTCAGGAAGCTCAACTGGAATTCTTCCACCCTGATCTGCAGTTATTGGGCTGGCATAAAATGTAACAGACATGGAACAAGAGTTATAGGTATCCATCTTCCAGGTGTTGGGTTTTTCGGTCAAATTCCAGAAAAGACCATAGGAAAGATGGATGCTCTTAGGGTTCTTAGCTTGAGAGGAAACCATTTAAGTGGACCTCTTCCTTCTGATATCCTCTCCATCCCTACCCTTCAAACTGTTTACCTTCAAGATAACAACTTTACTGGACAAATACCCATCTCTCTCTCTCCCAGACTTGTTATAATAGATCTTTCTAGCAATTCTTTTTCTGGGGACATTCCCGCCAGTATCAAGAATTTGACACATTTATCTGTTCTTAAGCTTCAGAACAATTTCATATCTGGATCCCTCCCAAATCTTGAATCTTCAAAGCTTAACTTCTTGAATGTGAGTCATAACATGTTAAACGGGTCGATACCGGATTCCTTCCAGAACTTTCCAGCTGCTTCATTTCTGGGTAATTCTCATCTTTGCGGGAAACCACTCCCACAGTGCTCTACAGGAATAGTGAAAGAAAAAGATTCAATTTTGAAGAAGAAGAAACTCAGTGTAGGGACTGTGATCGCCATTGTTATAGGCGTGTGTTCATTTCTGACTTTCTTGGGATTGATGATCTCATTCTTCTGTTTGAAGAAGAAAGTCTCTGATGGGAGTGATGGTAAAGAGAAGGTTGCTTATGGTGGGAAGAGTGAGAAGCCAGAGGATTTCGGAAGTGGGGTCCAGGATGCAGATAAGAACAAACTTGTGTTCTTTGAAGGATGTTCTTACAGCTTTGACCTTGAAGATCTGTTAAGGGCTTCTGCTGAAATTCTTGGGAAGGGTAGTTATGGAACAGCGTACAAGGCTTGTTTGGATGAGTCAACAATGGTGGTGGTTAAAAGGTTGAAGGAAGTTGGAGCTGGGAAGAGAGAGTTTGAACAACACATGGAGTTTCTGGGAAGGATTTCACGCCACCCAAACTTGGCCTCTCCCCAGGCTTATTACTATTCAAAGGATGAGAAGCTTGTTGTTCATGAGTACATGCCAGTTGGCAGCTTGTTTGAAGCTCTTCACGGTATGTCTTTTCCAGATTTAGTCTTTGAATGCAAAACCACTGAAACTTGCCGCACACATCAATAAGCATGTTTTTGTCTTGAACCACTATTCATTTCAATAATCTTTCTTACAATGGCCAATTGTGCCAGTATTGATAAGATCCATCAATTCACCAAACATACCGTAAGTTTCAGATTGGCTGGGAAGGGTTTTGAAATGTTTTGGAAGATAGGTTATGTTTACGGAGTATTATTTTGATGTATCTCTAAATCTTTAGAGTTTTTGACACTTTTAGTCCTTGGACTATTTTGAATGTTTCACTTTTATTCCCCGGTTATAATACTATAGACACTTTTGGTGCTCGTCTTTGAAGATTTTCATATTTAGTCCTTCGACTTTTGTAAAAGTGTTACTTTGAGTCCTTCAACTATTAGGGAGTATAATAGTGGCATTTTTAGTTCCTCACTTATTGTGCCACAATCATAGTAGAAGGACTAAAAGTGTCAATTTGATAATATTTGGGGGAATAAATGTAGAAAACTTTGAAGTCGGGGACTAAAAATGGAAAAATCAAAAGTCGGGTACCAAAGGTGTACTGACATAGTAGTCAGGGAATCAAAAGTGGCAAAAACTCAATCATTTTTGAGGTTTTATAATTTTTTTTTTGAAGAAATACCTCAAAACACAGTTAAAAATAGGGGTAATTTGAGTTTGCACCCCATATTATTGTCTAAATTGGACTTTGCACCCCATTTTTAAAAATATTTGTTTTTGCACCCCAACTCCATATGAAAAGATAAAAATGCCCTCAATCAGGAATATGTTGAAGGTCAACACAATTGTTAATGGAGGGACATTTTTGTCTTTTTATATGGGGTTGGGGTGCAAAATCAAAGATTTTTAAAAACGGGGTGCAAAGTCCAATTTAGACCATAACTTGGGGTGCAAACTCAAATTACCCCTTAAAAATACCCTAGGCAAAGAAAATGGTGTCTTCATTTTACATTATAAAATACAAAAAGGAAAATCAGTCTTGATTAGATTTTTTGTTTCTTGTGATTTTGTGTATCTACATTTCTTATCTTTTTGTATGCTAAGATTATAAATAAAATAAATTTCAACATATGTTCTTCCAAAATTTCTCCTTATCTTTTCTCCTCTTTTCTTGGTTGCAAAACCTTCATATTTTTCCCTACTAGCTAAACCAGTGTTTGCGATTGCTTAAAAAAAGCGCTTTTCAACTTTTGGCTTAAAAAAAGCTAAAAAGAGTGTTTTCAAATGACAGCTTCTGCTTAAATTAATCACTTAAAAGCTAAAAGCTGAAAGCAGAGGTGGAAGGGTGCTTTAAACTGCTTTTCACTTTTTCTATTACACAAAAAGTACTTATTTTACCAAACATTACCAACTTTTACTTTTTCTGAATCACTTTTTCCTCAAACACTACCAACTTTTACTATTAATCACTTTTTCCAAAATCACTTTAAAAAATCATTTTTTTAAAGTTGAAGCAATGACAAACATTAACTTATCGGCATGTTCACTTTGTTAAAAAATCACTTCTGCTTCTCCTCATAAAATGTGATCACCAAACATAAAAACTGAAATATGCCATCTCATTCTCCTTATTTCACCAACGTGATACTCATTTCATTTGGATCAAAGCATTTTATTTAATTAACCAATCAACTAATTACCATTAACTTATTAAAATTTGATCAAGCAGGGAACACCAGCATGGACAGAACTCCACTTGACTGGAAATCTAGACTGAACATAGCATTAGGAACAGCAAAAGGAATCGCACACATCCACTCCCAAGGCGGCGTCAGATTCACCCACGGCAACATCAAATCCTCCAACATCCTCCTCACCACCACCCTCGAAGCCGCCGTCTCTGACTTCGGGTTGAGCCCTCTCATGAACTACATTGCCGTCAAACACCGGGGGCCCGGTTACCGGTCGCCTGAAATGATCGAGACCCGAAAAATCACCCAGAAATCAGACGTGTACAGCTTCGGCGTCCTCCTTCTCGAGATGCTGACGGGGAAATCGCCAGTGCCGACTGGGCGCGACGACGTGGTAGATTTGCCACGATGGGTCCGGTCCGTCGTCCGGGAGGAGTGGACGGCGGAGGTTTTCGACGTGGCGTTGATGAAGTACGAGAATGTAGAGGAGGAGATGGTGCAGATGCTTCAGGTTGCTCTGACATGTGTGGGGAAGGGGCAGGATGCGAGGCCCACCATGGATGAAGTCGTTAGGATGATTGAGGATGTTTGTCAGCCGCCGGAGGAGGGAAGTCAACCGTCCTCCGGCGACCGGTCTAGATGCTCCATTGCACCAACTCCGGAGTGATACAAATTTCAAAGGTTGTTTGGTCACGAAAAAATGGAGGCGAGGACGATGGACTTTTGTGTTATTAATTAATTAATTTATTTCTCCACCACCCTCTGAAATGTTCTGACCCAAACAAGGTCTTCAGATTTGGCTCCATAAACAGATAAAACGAAAAATGAGTTCTTGTTTTTGGTTTTGACCAAACAGAGCTTCAGTTTCAGTGCTCTTTGATTAAGAATTGGTTTATCTGTTCCTGGAGCCAAATGTTAATGTTGTTTAACCTTTTGGCCTATATTGATGGCTTACTATACTCAATTCTTTTCATCAAGCAGATCCACTGTAAACTTAGGTTGATGATTACTAAATATAGTCTACTTTTTAGCACAAACAGGATTTTTGTTCAATCATCTTATGATAACAAAAGGGGTCATGATACTTCAGATTTTGCCAACCCATCATTGTAAAAGGCTTCACACTTCAGTAATCAATTCTTCATCAAAAATAATAATCCCTCCATTCTTTAATGGAAAATTCCCTTTGAACACGCCAATTTTTACACGCCGGGTTACATGCCGGTCAAATTGTCTGTGTACAAACAATTCGACCGGCGTTTTATGAGGATAACTGATTTTCACACAAATAAAAATAGAAAAATTATTGGTATCATAGACATTTTAAAATTCTCGTTTAAAATTGTATATATCACAGACATTTCATGAAAAAATTTCGTCTAAAATGTCTGTGATACAGACAACACTTGATTTTTGCCTGTGTGGTAATCAATTGTCTTCATAAAACGTCAGTCATATTGTCTGTGTAGCTCGGCACGTAGACCAAGCAGAACTCTTCTTTTAATGGTGAGAACTATGGCACCCAATTAAAAATGGGATGTCGTATCTATCATTCTCTTGATTGGTTTAAAACATTACAATACTTTCAATTTTCATATAAATAATTCAACTATAATATTTTGATTGGTCCATATATGTGGACAAATGTATGGTAATTTATGAGTACAATAGAATCTACCTTCTTGAATAGTTAGGAATATTTTGATTTTTGCACTATTAATACATTACTTTAATCATGTTTAGTATCCAAAAATAGGAATTATACTAGGCTTAAATATTAACGGGGTGGGCTAAATTTTAAAAAATTAAAAAAAATACACTAAAAAAATTGGAAAAAAAAAAACCAGTTGCCTTGGGTTTCAACCTCACATAGCCCGTACATAGATTCTCCCTTGATTATTACTAATGTATTGTTGAATTATTATGTCATGTATAAAAATTTTAAATTTCTATTAATGTGAATTAAGTAATTCAAAAATTTTAAATTCGTCTATTTGAAATATCAACATGCAAAAACCACCATATAATAAAAAATATGTAGTATTAAAAAAAAAAACTTAATGCCATAATGGTCATGGGTAGAGCCTAGAGGGAGGTGGCAACCCAAACTACCCAAGCCTCCTGATTCCAAGCTCGATAAAAATGTTTTTGCATGCGTAATTTTCATTATTCAAACAAACAAAATTATTTTAAGGGAAAGTTTCTAAAGTAGGACTAAAAAAGTTTGAAAATTCCAAAATAGGACTGTCATGTATTTATTCCCAAAATAGGACTAATTACTGCCAAATTTGGAAAATACTGCCATGTTCGAAGTTTGGTACTACCAAAACATGACAGTAATTAGTCCTATTTTGGGAATAAAAAAATGGAAGTCCTATTTTGGAATTTCCAAACTTTTTTAGTCCCATTTTGGGTAATATGTCTTATTTTAATACGGTATAACTTATTAAATCCTTTGTTTATTCCTGAAGGATGTTGGCGCATGGCTCTATTACCTCTGGCTCTATATAGACACTATTTCCATTGGACCATTGCGGCACTAAGCAGTGGCGGACCCACTAAGGGTCCCATGGAGTCCCGGGACCCGTGTGCCTTCAAAAAAATTATTATATATATTATATACATTTTATATAAAATTTATTAACATGTGTATAAATACAACAAAAGCTTGTAGGAATGTGAGAGAGCGGAGTAGACGGATGGTTGCAGTGGGGAACTTCAAGCTCCCTTTGTGTGGAGGTTCGGGGTTCAATTCCCTAGCTGCTGCATTTTTCTTTTACAAATGTCTTTTTGTAAAAGATCATTATTTTGAACTTTAAAGTTTACATAATTTAAAATTTTGGATTACTTATTAAAATTTGTTTGACTTTTAAGATTATTTATTAAATACTCCATATGATATTTATGAATAGTTTTTTCCCGATATTTTACGATTTAGGATGAAAAAATATTTCAATATTGTATCCGGATTTAAAGAAATTTGGAGCATCGGGAGTAAATCGGACGCTAATTCAAATGATTCATCATTATTAAATGAAAAAATAGATCAAATAATTGTTAAATATAAAATTAAGATGTCTAGTTGTCTGCAAGACCAACATGTTGAAACCTAAGAAGGTACATTTGTAGAATTGTAGAATGAAATATATACTTCATATGTAATTTTGTGTGTTATGACTATCTTAATATTTTGATAATGTACGTTAACTATGAAACATTATGCTACTTTAGACCCTGTTTGGTAATGCGTGAATAGGCTGTATTGACTGATTCTACTTAAATTTATGAAATTATGGTTAAAGTGACTGTATTGATTGATTCTACTTATTTATAAAAAAATATTTTAAATATATTTTATTAATAAAATAAAGAAAAAATCATAGTATCGCCAATACAGCCAATACAACTGAAATATACTATGAAGCGATTGGATTGGCTAAAGTATGAAAGATAGCTCAAATGATTTTATACAGTAACTTCAGTCAATACAGTCAAAAAAGTAATTTTAAACTTACGTTTTCTTATTATTACACCATGCGATGCGCGAAATCAAAAGTTACTTGTTTGATATATAAATTGGTTAATAAACCTAATAAGCCGGGGGGAAAATCGCCTAACAGGCTCTTATTAATTAGAGTTACATTAGAGTAGGGACCCCGTGATCTTGATTTTCTGGGTCCGCCACTGGCACTAAGTGTAATGAAATTATTTGGAAATAATTTTCAACTATATCAGTCCAATGAGATAAATCTACCAACCATTTACTAAACAACAATTTTAGTTATTTAAGTAATCAAAGAAATCAAAACTTAGCTAATCATCCATTTTCAAGATGAGGCCTTCGTTTATACATACGTAGTATTAGCTAGGAATGGGGAAGACATAACTAGTACAAAAAGTTAAAAAGCTGTAACTATTCACTAAGAGTATAAAACTACACAACAAAGGAATTGGACTATGGTTACAGGCTTTCAGCCTCAATTGTATGCCTAGGTTCAACCTTGCAGCCAAAATGCCAGTCTTCAAAATTTATCTTAAAATGTACCGTGGAAATAAATTCCCAATTATTAATTCTTCATAGCTCGTCAGATAAATGGTAAATCCAATTTAATTATATGTTAGTAGTGCATAGTTCTATAATAGAGTATGCTTTTAGTGTCAGGAGAGTGTTTAGGTAAAAAAGCAAGTCATACTACGAAAGCATATTATTCACAAAATAACCATCTCGTACTTTGTTATGCAAGATATAAATATATGCACGTTTACACTTTTGATTAAAAAATCAAGCATTCCAGCCCAACTGGTTGTTAGGTTACTGTGCCTATTGGGAGGTCTCGAGTTCGAAACCCGCTAGCACATAAGGGTTCAAAACTCAATGAGCTAGTTTCAACCCATATTACTACATGCCCCCCATCCCCCTCCTCCAGACCCCCTGGAGTAAATTAAAAAAAAAACACTTTTCATTAAGAATTGTCAAACTTCTCAAATTTAGGTATCTATAGATATTACACTAGACATTTCTTTCCCTGAGTGGTTAGGTCCATGATATTATCCATGACACTAACATCAACTGGCACCCACATAACATGCCCCACAAGTTTATAAATTAACCCAATGACAAAGCAATGGTATTTTACATTTTTACAAATTGTGCCTTATATTTAGTTAATTACCATATCCTTGCGTTATGAACAATTACAATGAGATAATATTTTATATAAAATAAATCTTAAAAATGACTACAAGATCCTCTAAGTACTAGGTAACTTCATCTCCTTCAGTAATCCCTCAAGTGCACTACATATTTTCTCATCTTGAAGTTTTGATGCAAACGCCGCGCCGGCAAGGAACTTGTGCACCTTTCCCTCTAAGCAAATCCGACTATGCCCCGATTCTTTGCTCACTCCACTTTCCATCATAGCTGACCTCATAATTGAAACATTCTTCCAATGATGTTTTGTGGCAAATGCATTCGACATCATCACATATCCGGCAGAGCTATGTGGATCCACCTGGACAAGCATCTGTGAGATGTGATTGGCAAGTTCTAATTTGCCATGAACCACACAACCACCAAGTAGAGCCCCCCAAACAAAACTGTTCGGCTCAAATGGCATTGACGTAACAACTTCAAGTGCTTTTTCAACATGACCTGTTCGTGAAAGTAGATCAACGTAACAAGCGTAGTGTTCCAATTTGGGGACAATAAAAAAACGTTGGCTAATTTCTCGGAACACTTGCCAGCCTTTATTTATTAGTCCTGAGTGACTGCAAGCGCATAATACACTGAGGACAGTTAGGGAGTTAGGTTGCAAATTAAGCTCTAGCATTTTCGCAAAAAGTGTAAGCGCGCCTTTTCCATTTCCATTTGTTGCCAAACCCATGATCATGGCGTTGTATGTGACAACATCTTTTGAAGCAAGCTGGTCAAACACTTCCGTCGACTTCTCCACACACCCACATTTAGAGTACATGTCTATCAATGCAGTCTCAAGATTCCTATTCGAAATATTGCTTGATTTAATATGTTCATGGAATAAAATCCCCATATCCAAATCACCAAGTTGAGCACATGCAGTAAGCACACTGACCATTGTAACATGGTTGGGATTAGAATTATGATGCATTGTCATTACCCGAAAAAGATCCAATGCGTCCCAAGAAAATCCATTCTGGACAAGGGAACTAATGATGGCGTTCCAAGGAACCACACTTCTCTTCCCATCAGCAGATACCTGGTCAAACATCTCCCTACTCTGATTGACCTTTCCACATTTACCATACAAATAAATAAGAACAATTTTAACAACGTCACAATGGTCATCCTTCAAACCATAGCTATCAACTGCGTCTAACAAATTCCTTATCCAATTCTCAACCTATACAAAATCAAGATTCGAACAAGCAGACATCACACTAACCATGGTGTCATTTTCAGGGACCACTTTCTCCTTAACCATGGACAAGTATGTTGATAGTGCTTTTTCAGATTGACCCGACTTGGCATATCCAGAAATCAAACAAGTCCAGCAAGAGGCGTCCTTGTAAGGCATTTCATCGAACAGTTTACAAGCCGAATGAAAATCCTTCAGGGTCTTGGCATGCACGCTTAGCAAAC